TGATGTGCAATGAAAAATGATACTGTATAAGAGTGATGATGAGGTCTCCTCTCTTTCTTGCCACCAGACCAGCCACCTCCCTCTTGTAGGCTGCGTTATCACCCTTGGTGATGCGGCCAATCGCCGCAGTGTCATTTGTGAACTTCAAGATGAGGCTGTCCTTGAGTGTTGAACAGCGTGTAGGATGTAGGCTCAACATCCTTGAGCGATGCCAGTGTTGGTGATGAAGCTGGCTGAAGTCCTATTACTAGTCCTAACAGACAGTGACAGTGACTGTCAGTCACAGAGGGTGGGGTGCAGGTTAAGTATGAGCAGTTTTCAGTGTGTTTGTGAGGGATAACTGTATTGAAAGCCAAGCTGGAGTCGACAAAGAGTATCCTAGTGTTGACTGAGACAGTACCACTCTCTCAAAACATTTTGCTATGATTGGAGTGAGTGCTATTGGCCTGTAGTCAACCAGACCAATTGGTAGGTTTTCCTCAAGAAGGGGAACAATAGCTGTTATTTTGAAGCAGGTGGGCACAACGCTTTGGCTGCGGGAGAGGTTGAATATGGAGGTGAGAACGATAGCCAGCTCATTAGCACAGGCTCTGATGGCCCACCCTGGGATGTTGCCTGGGCCTCCTGCCTTGCAGGGGTTAATCCTCCTCAGTGCACCTGGCCTGTTAAGGCAAGTTGGATGAGGAAGGGGTAAAATAGGATAATCCTATTATCCTATGAAATCTTTATGTTTTGATTTCTCTGTATGTACAAAATTACTTAAGTAAATAAAACCCTGCAACATCATTGGAATGAAGGATTCACAGACATATTGCTTATAACATCTGTTGTACATGACATAATGCAACTGCATCCGGCTATAAGATTGCAGATGAGGGTGAGATCTAATTAAATTTGTTCAATATTGCAATCCCCAAGCAATACGTGGAGAGAGAAACGGCAGCTTGTGTGCTGCCGTCACACTCTCAGGTCGTTCCAGTTGGCATAACCAAAGTGTGACAGCAGAACGATCCAGACAGAGCAGGAACAAGAAAGTAAAAAGCAGAAGGGGGAGAACATGGCAGCCGAGGACTAGCACTTCTACATCAAACAGCTCTGTTGTCACAACAGAGCGGCAGAGCCTCCCCTGTTAACTGTGACACCATACAGCTGCTCGTCACGGCAAGCAAAGGCAAAGGCGGAAAACCTACTGTAAGTCAAGCAAGCGCCCTGTTTGTTAAATAAGAGAGCATGAGAGAAGGGAGAGGGCGGTGATGCAGCGGTGGCAGCAAAGCAAGAGAACACTGTAGTGGTGTCAAATCTTCTTAAGTAGCTGAGGAAAGGCAGCATTTTCTCAACCCTCCATGAAATTGAATGTTGGGGAGGGAAATGAAGTGTGGCTTTCAATAAGTGTAACAGCAATCATTGAGGCACTTGAGAAAAATGGTACAGGGAGTGTTGGCACTAACATATGAGCAGTGATCAAAGAAGCAACGAAAGTGATTATTTAGTAAGATTATTTTATGGTCGATACAGTAGATTATTTGAAGTGCAGTTGTAGAGAAAAGGGGAAGGCTGAAGTAAGCTCAAAAGGTAAAGGCAAATAGAATCACTCCGAGATGAAAATAATGACAGGAAAAATAAATATTTGTACAGAGAAGAATTCTCTTTAAAGTATATTAAAAAAGAAAGTGTAAGTGAAGATGTTTTATTATCCTAAAACTTAAACTAAACTTTTAATAACTTAAAAAAAACAGTTAAATCATCAGGAGTCAGACTTTCAGCTGTCTCTGACACAAGACAAATAAGATGGAAGAGAGAGTGAAAGAGTGAGGACAACAAAGTAAAAAGAGGGACTGACTCCCAGCAGCCACTAACTTATCGTCCTGTCAGTTGTCATTCTGTGACACTCCCTGCTGGACTTAGTATAAGCGAGGCAATAAGGAGGGGGAGGAATAATAAGGACTTAGAAGGGATTAGTGAGGTGGTGGGAGACAAAATGCTGGGATAGACAGATGGAGGCTTCCCCGAAAGAAGACAGAGTCTCTAGCAAGCGTTTCCTGTGTTTAGTTAAAACAAATTTCTGCATTTAGACATGGGTGTGGGGGCGACACGTAGAGAAACAGAGGCAGGGTCTCAATATGAAATTCAGCAAAAGATGTCTTTCTCTAAAAATAGATTTAGAATGTGGTGAGAGAGGAGGGATGAGAAGAGAGGGAGAGAATCCCATAAAAAAAACTTGAATGTGACGTTTGCTTAGACTTAGACTGTGCATACCACTGATACCAGCAGGGGGCACCATCAATGCTCATGAAAAGGTTACCAAGAAGTGTGCAACAGTTTTTCAGCATCAATGCTTCACTGACAAATTTAATGTTTTTCTTAATCTCCATCAACAGACAAATGGAACTTCATTAGTACTCAACTGCTGCTCATCATAGACTCATCAAGACCTAGGCAGAACATTCTTTAAGCAACTGACAATAATAAGGTTTTACAGAAGATATCTGCCACTGCTCCAGTGTTACATAGTTTAACCAAGGCTAGCAGTAATCTGGCAACCAATTGACAAAATAATGAAGGACAGGTTCAAGCTATATGAAAATTAGAGAAAAGACTGCATAATTACCTTCTAATTGGGCTAATCAGGCATCAGGCAAATTCATTAGCAGCCACTGTATTTGTTGCTATGATATTTGTTATGTAAGGCATGCAGACACGATGTGGTGTGTGGACTGCAAACAGCTTATTAAGCTGCTGCAGCAGCCATGCAATCACAAAATTAGACCTAGTCCTTTGAATCAGTTTGAAAAGGTCACATCTGTCACCGCTGTTATGTTGAAAAGGTCACATCTGTCACCGCTGTAAAAATTACAGTAATACATTCTATAAGTCATTTGTTCACTGATTAGATGCTTTAATTTTCCTGCGTCAGAGAAACATGAAGAAATGGTGTCACATGGGATGTGAAATGCACTTTCGAAAAGACTGCAATGGCTTCCTTGAAAATGCATTGAAAATGAAGAGGTATGGAAACTCAATAGCTTATAAGAGGCTCATGAATCCTTGAGAACCTAAGTGTCAGGGCTATACTCGAGAACCTGAGGAAGGAGCACAGCTTCCTGCAGTAACAGGAGTAAGAGCTTAACATGTCTCGATACAGCTAGTTATAGCTTATTGACATTACACACTGCTGAATTCATTTCATTTCTGCTAATTAAACCAGTAGACCTGATTAAATGTTTTTTAAGGCCGGAGGGTACGAGTTGCATCTCTGGTTCTAGTGTTGATGGCTCATTTTCAAGTTGAGCATACACTCAACTGTGCTAGCTGTAAGAACATGAACAACGCTTCAATTATTCTTGCACATTATTCTTGGACATATAAATGAGTTTTTAACAGATTGATTTTATGACTCTGGTCAATTAAGATGAAGTGCATGTAAAGATCATTTGGTATTGTACCTACAACATGAAAGGCCAATGGACATTAGGCTGCCTTATCATTCACAAGCTACGATACAGCAACACACAGTTACGTCAGGCAAATGGTAAAATCTAATCTGAGGCCCAATTCTTTTTTATTTATTTCTGCTCTATGGAAATGGCTAGTGTCTTATCAGCAGCCAGGGTTATTTGAGCAGATTCTCTTGCTGTGGCTTAGTGAAGGGACTCGATCACTGCACCACAGTGATAGGCCTCACTTTTCATCCCTTCTCATCTTTTTATCTTGGAGGAGCGGAAATGAAAAGGATGCTATCTTGCGCTCTCTTTCAGTGTCTTTCAGTAAGAGAAAGAGAGAGAAAATGTGGACATTTTCCTCCAAACCATATGAGCCAGATTAATACATGGGGTTCATAAATGAGTGCTTAGTCTGGGGTCTCTAAATTGGCACAGATCGGAGAAAGGTAATATAGTACAGTAATTGTGTTGTGGTTATTCTGATAATGTACAAAAAACAGAATAAATCAATATCATAATCTGTAAAATACATGATGACAAATACTAACATATAAATATCTAATAGTCTGGGTTCAACCTTTTTAGATGTGATTTTTGAACACTTTTGAACAATTCTGTTAAAAATACTACAAAGTAGGAAAACTAATATTTTTTAATGTACTTATTATTATGTCTGCTAGGAAAACGAGTGCCATCAGATAAACACGGTCCAGTTTGTTGTCCTGCACACTGGAGAAAAATCAACTGAACAGATCACTCTGCAGTGTTGGGGCATTTTGGGTAATTTCATGTTACACAAATTCGCTTGGGGGTATTTGGGAAATTATTCTGTATACCATAGTGATGGAGGTTCATAAATCATAAAGAATTATGTATTTTTATAAAACCAACTAAATGGGTCTAAATGGGAGCTCCAAAAACAAAAAAATAAAACCCATTTTTATACACTTATTTTAAGAGCAGGTAATGAGAAAGAAAAGGAATTTAAATCTGAAAACATATGCTAGGCTAAACTCAAAAAAACGCTAAAACTTTAAATATCTTTTTTTTTTCTTTTTCAGTTATAAATATCCTTAGAAAAAAAAGTACTGATGTATTGTCATTTGTCCGGCAGATATTTGGTCATGACCCAAGGTATAAAACTCAACCTTGTGTGATTGCTGCAGGAAATGTCAGGTGTTCAATAGTTTGATGACATTTTTAATCATCTGCTAACCACAAATACCCTTATTCTACAGAAGTTTCCCCAAACTCTCATACTTTTTAACTTGCAGAGAGGACAAGCTTTTCCACAAGTTAACAAGTTCCAGAAAGTCACTATTGTATATTACCGATGTCCCAGCAGCTAGTAAATCATATGAAATAGGTGGGGAAGCAGGGGATTCTGCTTCCCCCGTTTCCAGAGTAACTGGGACATGATTCAGTGAGGAAAGATATAAAGCATGTGAATGAAGACTACAGTTGGTGGAAAAAAAAGATGGGAGGACAGAAGTCAGAAGAAACCAGAGAGAGGAAGAGGAATACAGGTGGGTGGATGAAATGAAGAATAATGAAGTGCACCTTGACATTGTCTCCTTTTGTCAGAGTGTCCCAGAGTGTGTGTCGAAACATGGTGAGATCCATCTGACGGCCTCCTCCCAACAAAGCCTGGGGGAAATAAAGCAAGTTGGTTTCAAATGCTTTTGCACACAGAAGCGCAATTACTTTAATTGGCAAATGAAAATAGACATACACAAATAGGATACAACAAACCCAAAACAGACTAAGACTACTGTATCTTTACATTTATTCAACATCTACAGTTTGACGTTCTCTTCTAAATTCATAATAGAAGCTAATAAATGGCCTGTGTCACCAGCCTGCTGCCAATTGTGACTCATTTCTCAGAATGCACACCAGCTCACACTCTTAGTTTCTTTGCTTGCTGGCCCCACAGGTTTGGACTTTTAAAAAAAGTGCCTTACATAACCGATAATGAACTGCACATCATCCATCTCACATTCAGCTCACCTCGCAATAATCCTTGCTGCCATATCTGCTTATCTATTCAAGTCACACTCTCATTAAATCTGCTTTTACAGCCAAACGGAAGAAGTTTACTGCTTATGGAAGTCAAATACCATTCATCACCAAGAAAGGCTGTACTTATTCGGATATACTGCATGTTTTAATTCACCGGAGGACAAACACATCATTCGTCCAAACTGAATTAACACAGAGCACTGCAGAAAAAAAGGGGAGACAGGAAGTGACGGAGCAAATTAATCTGCTGCCTTTTGCCAGCTGAAATTGAAGTCAGTGAGGCGGTGTGCACTGGTGGATGCCCATCAGTCATAGGACCTTGTGTGTGGAGTGAAAGAAATAGCCTAATGTGATACTCCTCCACATTGGGAGGTACAGAATGAGGACAGAGAAGAGGAAGATGGTGCAGCTCTCAGAGTTTATTCATCTGAAACAGTGTCCCCCTGGAAGCCATTTTGGCAGCAATGTAACACAGCAGGCGACGACCTTTAGATACTATGCACAATTAAGCTAAGCTAATAAACACAGATATGGACCTGGACACTTGGACTAGAAGGCAGATGCTGTGAATCACCTTGGATGTGAGTGAGTTCTTCATGCTTAGGTCATCTTTTCAATCCCCAACTGAAATGTGTTTGGTTGAAACGTGCAGAAAAAATGTCGGCCAGGAGAAAATGAGCTGAATGGGAGGTTTGTTTGAAGTAAAGTTTTTGTGACCTTTGAGCAGTCAGAAGCCAAGATACTAAGGTCAAATACTGAGGTACAGAACATTGCTGTGGCAAAAAAAAACTGTATTATTATATTAATTAATTATTATTATATTAATTTATATGCAGATAATATTTTAACAACTTTACATGATCACGACCTGTTTTATTTTACTATATGTAAGGCAATGTTATGTAAGGCAATGTCAGGATACAAATATGGAAAAATGACCCCCAGGTCATTATCAGGCATGCTTCTATATCTATCATTTATCTCAGGTCTCTGGAGTTTTGTGGTTGAAGTTTAAATAAAATTACATACGGATTTAATATTCATCGGTGTTAGCACTGCTACGACCAAATGGCGTTTACGGCCTCAAACATGCTCTTTTTCCTTTTCAAATTTATACCAGCTGACAGGGCACCAAATAATACACCCTGTCCACTTCTCCACCTCACTCACTAGGATCTCGAGTTAAGCGTCAGTAAAATTCCATTTTTCTTCCCTTGTTCACGATGATTTTTTGCACAGATCATGTAATGCAACGCCTATCTAAATACATTTGCATATTTCTATAGAGGTGTGGTTTGGCACTTCAGTGTGCGTCCTCAATAGCATGTTGGTTGGGATGTAAAAACAACACGTACACACTCTAATACATCTGATCGATGATAAGCACTTCTAACGTAACAAAAGTTAAACAAAACTAATAAAGCAAACCTAATACTAATATAGGTTATCACATTTTAACAGATCTAGACACATTTTGAGTTTCTGGAGACACTCAGACCCATCAGTTTTTTTCGCCTGCACCAAAATCTAGTCACTTTATTAAAGCCATCCTTTATACCCTATGAACTGCAATTGTTAAGGCTAAACTCCGACTATGAGAAAATTGCCAACTGTTCTGAAAAATAAGCTCCGCATTTGATTCAGTCAAACTAACAAGGGCACTGATAAAACTGCATGCAAAGATATTGCCTTACAGGGAGAGACAAGAAGGAAAAGAAGATCAAATAACATAGTTACATACTGTGCTATGTTATTTGATAGTTCCAGCAAATTCAAGAAGCACAGTTTTACAAATGCCACTAAGATTCACCTGGTGAGGGATTATTGTGTTTCCAGTCACAGTTATGAAACGTATTACCTTGCAAAGATATGAAAACAGCACAAACAAATGGATGAGACAGCTCTCGCAGTGGTCCCACACAAGTGAAATATTACAGTTCCCACACATTATTTAAGGACATAAAGCATGTGCGTGTGCACTGAATGTACACATACATCATTAGAGAGTCGCACATGTAACAGAGATGAGAGTATTTCTTGTCACTTATCCTCCTTCACCTTGGTATTTTCTTTCTAACAAGAGACTAACAGTAAAGCAGCACGTTGAACCAACATGAACCAGTGTCAACCAAAACAGAACAAAAAAAAAACAAAAATCAGACTCAAGTCTTCTAAATCAGCAAAACACCACAAGCTACACTACACACAAGGTTCAAATTGAGTTCAATTTGAAGTCCATGTTGGTTCCACTGGAAATTGGAAATGCTCTAAACCCTGCAAATATTTTTTTTTTTTTTTTGAAAAATGAAAATGTACCAAAAGAGACACTTGTCTTTCCTTTAACGGAGGACATTGATATCCGATGTATAATTAAACATTTGATCTTTAGAGATGGGTAACACTTATCTTTGTATAATCCACAAATTGTGAACAAAAAGTGACCCCTCCTGAAAGCCATACATATAATTAATATGTGATTCATTCATTTTTTCTGCAAAAATGTCACAGTATCTTAAAGATTAAACTCCTTAGAAATGCAGAAATACCAAAGTTTTACAACTGTTGAAATTGAACATGTATGAAAACAGCTTTTTGAGAGACTTCTTGTTTGGTGCTACAGTACCTACCAAAATGGCAGTAATGGCTTGTTTTGAGCCAAACAAGCAACTGGAAATCAGTTTAGGCTCTGAAAGTGCAACACTACAGTTTGAAATCCTCTGACATTAGGACTAAGCATGATTCATGGTTAAATCATCAGATACATCTGTCATATTAGTCAGTCAGTGGAATCAACGGTCAATTATTTATTTTTATGTTTGCCTATATTGAAACGAAGTCAAATCTTTGAAAATGATTAAAAAATGACATACATTCAATATATTTGTTGCAGGTCTCATCTCTTTGCACTGGGCTGAAACAACATTTATTTAAGGGCCTTTAAATTGTGCATTTTGTCTGATGAAGTTTGCAGTAAATTGGTAAATTGTAAATTGGTAAATTGTTAGGTTTTCAAAAGCTCCGTTCATCGTGTCTCAACGTTTTCTAACTGCCTCTTCATAAATCACAACTTCTACATTAGTCACTGATGAAAAGAAGAGTTAAAAAGGACAAGTCACAACCCTCAAGTCTTAAGAGTGCCATTAAAAAATGAGTCTTCATTTCATTACATAACAGAAAATGCTCACCATCGGCTCCCGCTCACACTTCAAAAGCCCACATATAAGCAGGAATACTTCAGACAGGTTTTAAGCAGAACTTCATTTCTGCTTTTAATGATGTGAAAATAAAAGGCAATGGCAGTTGTTGTTGTTGTAAGATCCTTCAACCATGCTAATGAACAGCTCCTCTTCTCTTAGTATAAAAGTGAGAGAACAGACGGATCGATATATATATGGCGTCACATCAGTCTATTTTTTGCTCGGTATCCGGGCCCAGGGAACATTTCATAAAGGCCAAAGGGTCGGATTATCACGGAGCTAAATGCCAATGTAATTATTAGTGTCTAAAGATAGTGGAAAGGGACACATATCCTGTGGCAGTACACCATATTTAATTAATAAATGTTACACTGTGGAGAGAGTGCGGGGAGCACATGAGGAAAGAGAAAGTAGGAGGGCAGAGACGCAGGGTGACAACAATACAGCTTCTGACTAAGACGCAGACACAACCACTTATGTAAAACACGTGTGAGGACATTTTGCAGTGTGCTGCAAATGGGGGAAAGAAACAACACAAACATAAGAAAAAGTGGATCCAAAGATGGATTATTTGTCATGATGCAAGAAAATGTAGTGGAAACCTCTAAGACCACAGCTCCACGACCAAGCATTAATCTATACAACAATACAACACAGTGTTAAGGCTAGCATAACATAGTTAGTAACTGTCTCACCAAAGAGTAGGTTAGTGGTTCCCAAAGTGGGGGGCAGGACCTCCCTTGCTATTGTAGGCAGGGGCCATGAGGATGTCACCAAGTAAAAAGAATTAAATCCAACATTGTCATTATTTGTGCCTTAGTAAGAGAATTGCACTGAATTAAATATTTAATTTTTGATGTTAATTTAGAATAAGACTCCTGTAGGAATTCTGATGTTTTCATTATGTTCAGCGAGGATAAGGAGAAACATCTGAGCATGTGTCGACATGAGAGGGGGCTGAACAACAGTCCTGTTGAATGGGGCGCTGCAGGAAAAGTTTGGGAACCACTTGGGAAGTCGAGACTATGGGTCACGGAAAGATTTGTGATTGAAAGGATGTACAGGACATAGACAAGTGGGAGAAATGTCCTTCAATGTCTGTAACCTTCACTGGACTCAAAAAGATTTTCAAACTCTATTTAACATAATTCTCCTGATATTTTGATTTTTCAAGGCAAGATACAGAAAACAAGTATAAAGACAAACAAAATGAACAAAAGCAGAAGGCATTTAACTTATTTTCACAACTAATGTTCCATAGAACTATACTGTAGAGGGCCTAGAGAAAATCCCAGATCCATAAGTCTGCCTCTAATATTCCATGTCCTGTATATCCCACCAATTGAAGATTAACCTGTGGGGCTGTGGCTGTAGCCCTGAAGAAATTACTAGCAGAGAACATCACTCTTTAATTAAAATGTAATTGGG